ATTTGTGTATATCCACACAAACACACACATACACACATATGTAGGTATTTTTAAAATAAAATATTAACATTGAACATTATGTTTACATTTATTTTGCTTTAGGTTGTTTTGGAGAGCCCGTGGCCTAGCAGTACCCGCAGCGGTATCTTCTTGTGGACAAAGATACGGAATGTGGTACGTGGTTTGGCACAATTTAGGCAACCACTTAAAAAGACTGTGCAAAAGTCTGAGATCTCTTCAATATCAGGTAATACATGTGATTGGAAAGATACCTTTTTGCAGAACCATAAAGTTTATGAATTTCTAATTATATGAAGTAGGAAACTTACTCTGGTTCTTATTTTCATATATCGGTAAAGACAGAGGTTGCATTTGTTTTTTTGGTTTTTTTTTTTGTCAGACATTTAGAAAGTGTTTGGTAACTGTAAAGAACTGTGGGTCCTTAATGTTTAGTTTTAGAGATTACCAGTGCATGAGTTATTGAACTGCATTGTGCTTATCTCTAGTTCCTCAGAATGCCACAGGTGGAAGTGATGGGGACACGGTGAGCCATGGTAGCGTGGATAGTTCTAATGATGCTAACAGTGGGGAGCACACAGTCTTCGTCAGAGACTTAATCAGGCTTGATTCCATTGATAATCACTCTAGCACAGGTACTAAAATCTGGATTTTACTAACCCTTCACTTAATCTCATGTTAAGTCTTTCCTTTTTTTCTTGAGTTTGTGCAATATAAATACTTTAAAAATATTGTATATAAATAAGAGAAGAAAAGAAATTATACCTCTGTAGGTTACATCTCTTTATTTCCTATGGTATAAAATTAAATTCAGATTGTTATACACAGTGCTGTAGCCTATTTCTTTGAATTTGTTCGTCATTAATTTGTGAAAGCATGTGCTGTAATAGGAATAATTGTGAGGTAATGAACTTGAACATTAGTGACAATTTGGAAATATGTTTTTTATGAAATGGAAAATACATCTTCAATCTTTGAACTTGTGAATATTAAAGAGGGCAGAAAGTAAATTATACATCATGAGAAAGATATTTTGTTTACTTGAAATGACATTTTTTTAAATTTAAGAAGCTAACTGAAGCTACCTGTATGTCTGTAGCCATGGACATAACCTCTGTCCTCTGAAGTTAGAAATAAGTATAATTAAAGTAGCACATTGGGCAGATAGATGTGTGTTGCATATCCTCCTTCTTGTGTTTTTTTGTTGTTGTTGCTGTTGTGGTTGTGGTTGCTGTTAATATCTCAAGCCTTCCTTTGAAAAGAATTCTGAGTCTTAATTCCTGTGCTTCTTCTGATGAACTTGTCTCAGTGACTGAAGTTTCCTTTTCTCTGCTCTTTGTTGCTCTGCTTTTGCTCTGTGCTGTTTCTTGGTGCTGCATTTGTCCTTGGCTGTCATGGTGTGGGGTGCACACAGACTTGTTTGACGTGGAGCTATGGATACACGTGTGCATTAATTCTACCTTTGAATGTTAACTACTTCAGGTAATTCCCCATTTATTAGGTTGCATTTTGCTGACAAGCAAGGGTGGGGGAAAGACCTATGTTGTATTTTAAGTACTGCAAGTTGAAAACAATTTTCATTTTCTTGGCTTTTCTCCTTCAGATACATGTAATTATATAAACACTCTAATGAAAAGTCTTCAAAAAATATCTTATGGCATTTGTTAACTTATTTCTAAATATATTATGCCTTGCTAAAAATTCTTGTTTTGAGCTTGGTTTATAGTATCTGTATGGCAAGTGATATGCTGTAGCATAGATATCACTATGGCAATTACTATGGACATTAAAGAATTGTTCCAGCTCTTGAGGTAGTTGCTGCTTTTCAGAATTGGTCTGCTGAATTGTAGTGCTAAACCTACCATCCTATAAGTACAGGGGCATGAGTAAATCATTGAAAGTCACATAAGCCTATTGGTCACAATCTTGTTTGTAATTAACTTTCCTAATTTACAGTCCTGATTGTGAATTAACAGGTAGGAATTTTTGACTTTCATGTTAAAGCTACCTTTTTTATTTGTTCTTAAACTTTTTCCTAATACTTGTAGAAGAAATGGGCTTCTTGTGTATGTTAATAAACACTCTTCCTCTTATTCCTTTAGAGTTTTTAGCTTGTTTAATTATAAAGATAATTTAACCCTTTAATGAGGAAAAGAAAGTCTCCCATTAATCTGGACAACTGGTATAAAGATTCTTCTTCAACTTTTGGATCCCTTTTGCATATATTTCTTTTTAGCTGCATTTTAGATAACTTCATCCCAGATACTGAGTTTACAGTGATTGTGCACCTACATAGGACTTCTAGTGATGTAATTTGATACTTTTGGAGGTTTCCATCCTAGATGCGTATTTAAATTGTTCATTTTATTAACTGTTATCTCATGGAATCTTTTCACTTGGTGCCTGATACTGAGTCACTTGGGGCATATCCAGGTATAATCAATTTACTGCATTTTCAGTATAGTGTCCATCTTAACGTACCATATTACATTACTAGGCCAATCAAAAAGCAGCTGAAGTTAGTAGTTAGTCAATCTAAATAGTAGAATTTAAAGAAGTTTTAACTCTTTTGTTATATATTAAACCCAAAAATCTGAGTGGCAGTGTAGTAAGTGGTAGCAAGTAGAAGAATTACATATTTTGTTTTGTTTTTTTGACATGTTAATACTGATTTTGTAGTAACTGATCTTATTTTTCATTTTAAATTATGGAACTTTAAAGCTTAAACTTTTAGAAAACTTTATTTTGAAATAATTTCAAATTTAAAGAAAAAAGAATAATATAGAATATCCCAAATGTCTTTTTTTCTTGATTCACGCTTTTTTAGTCACATTTGCTTATTTTCACTCTAAACACATACACATATTATTTATTTTCCCTAAACCATCTGAGCAGGTTATTTACATTTTACACTTTAACCTTTGAATATGTCAGTGATGTTTTCCAATATATAACCAAATTCAGGAAACTAGTGATCTGTTGTTTTATTTCTTTACTCTATATTCAGTTGTCCTAATGTCCTTTGTGGTACTTTAACCCCCTACCTTTAGTCCCTTTCAGCCTGGCACAGTTTCTCAATTTTTGTTTAGCTTTCATGGCCCTGAACTTTTTGAAGAATTCATTTTAGTTATGTAGTGGAATATCCCTCAATTCAAATTTGTCTGGTATTTCCTTATGATCAGATTAGGGATATGCAAGGTGGCTTCAAAAAGTTCCTGGAGGGGCTGACGCTGGAACATAATGGTCAAGCTGCCACTTGTGACACTGGCATCCTATATGGGCACCTGTTCGTGCCCTGGCTGCTCCACTGGTGATCCAGCTCCCTGCTGATGTGCCTGGGAAAGCAGTGGAAGATGGCCCAAGTGCTTGGGCCCCTGCCCCAATGTGAGAGACCCAGATGGAGTTCCTGGCTCTTAGCTTTGGCCTGACTCAAGCCCTGGCTATTGCAGATATCTGTGGAGTGAACCAGTGGATGGAGGATTGATCTCTGTCTCTTTCTCTCTCTCTGTAACTCTGTCTCTTAGTCCCATTTTTAAATGCTTTGAAGCTTCCTCATACTGCAATGACTTATGTTCTTCTATGATATCCTAGACAAATACAATGTGTTTCTGCTTCAGTGCTCTTAATTTTGATCACCTGGTCTCAGTGTTGTCTGGTTTCTTTCTACATAATTAACTATTTTCCCCTCTGTCAGGGACTACTCTGAGACCTTGGGATGATATTCTTTTCTTTATACTTTCCTTCTTAAATGTACCAGTATGATGTTTGCCAGCTCTCAGTCTTAATTGGGAGAAAATGGAGGAATATCCTTTCTCCATTTTTCATTTGTTAATCATCAGTATGGTTATCCTGTTTTATTCAGTGGTTTATAATCCATTACTGTCCTTAATCAATCCTCAAATCATCCCAATGTTGGCTGGTGGGATCTCTTATAAGCTAGTTCCTATTTGTTTGAGGCATGCCCTGATCATATTTTTGAGCTCTTTCTGACGCAACAGAATGTTCCTAGCTCATTGTTTTTTATCCTCTGCCTGAGCTTTGGAATTAACCATTTCTTCAAGGATCACAGAAAGGGAAATAGACTTTAAAAGCCAAGTTCTGGGCTTTTAGGTATGCTCATTGCTACCAAAGTGTTGCTGCTTCTAAACTTTTCTTACCATAAAAAAATTGTGTGTTTGTACGTATTTTATTTTTTTAAAGATTTATTTATTTATTGAAAGTCAGAGTTACACAGAGAGAGGAGAGGCAGAAAAAGAGGACTTCCATCTGCCGGTTCACTCCCTAATTGGCCGCAACAGCCGGAGCTGTGCCGATCCGGAGCCAGGAGCATCCTCTGGGTCTCCCACACAGGTGCAGGGCCCAAGGACTTGGGCCATCTTCTATTGCTTTCCCAGGCCATAGCAGAGAGCTAGATCGGAAGTGGAGCAGCCAGGTCTCAAACTGGTGCCCATGTGGGATGCCAACGATTTTCAGTCCAGGGCGTTAACCCGCTGCACCACAGCACCAGCATCTGTACATATTTTAGAAATATCTATAATTCCAAATCATCACTACAATATTTTTCTTAGCCTTCCACAATCCATTTTTTTTTTTTTTTTTTTTGACAGGCAGAGTGGATAGCGAGAGAGAGAGAGACAGAGAGAAAGGTCTTCCTTTTGCCGTTGGTTCACCCTCCAATGGCCGCCGCGGCTGGCGCGCTGCGGCTGGCGCACTGCGCTGATCCGATGGCAGGAGCCAGAAGCCAGGTGCTTATCCTGGTCTCCCATGGGGTGCAGGGCCCAAGCACCTGGGACATCCTCCACTGCACTCCCTGGCCACAGTAGAGGGCTGGCCTGGAAGAGGGGCAACCGGGACAGAATCCGGCGCCCCGACCGGGACTAGAACCTGGTGTGCTGGCGCCGCTAGGCGGAGGATTAGCCTAGTGAGCCGCGGCGCCGGCTCCACAATCCGTTTTCAAATTTAGGGTCCTTTGTGGTTCATAGATCCTTTTGTGGTGGTTCATAAGTGTGATGATTGAGTTTTCACGCCAATGTGTAAGTTGTGCCTCCCTCAAATCTTGTTATATAGCATTACCATATTCACCAATATCATTATATTTACTTATTTGCTCAGTCCTTTAGTATACATACAATAATTTTAGAATTGGCACACTCATTCCACTATGAGAGAAAAAAAAAACCTATCCAGGCTTAGGATATATACTCAAAATAACGTGTTCAAAAGTTACTTGGATTGATCCTCCCCTGCCCTTTCAGTGTGGTTATGTTATTCATAGGAAATGCAGTTGGTTTTATTTGTTTCTGTTTGTAGTTTTAGGACCATATCACCCTCTTTTTTTGGTTGATTTAATTTTTTGAATATGTAGAAATATATTGTATCTCAAAACCAAAAATAATACAATAATCCATACTTAGGGAAATGTCCTTCCTGTTTATTCCTTCTGTCCTATTTTCTTTTTTTTTTTATTTTTTTTTATTTTTTTTATTTTTGACAGGCAGAGTGGACAGTGAGAGAGAGAGACAGAGAGAGAAAGGTCTTCCTTTTGCCGTTGGTTCACCCTCCAATGGCCGCCGCTGCAGCCGGCGCACCGTGCTGATCCGATGGCAGGAGCCAGGAGCCAGGTGCTTTTCCTGGTCTCCCATGGGGTGCAGGGCCCAAGCACCTGGGCCATCCTCCACTGCACTCCCTGGCCATAGCAGAGAGCTGGCCTGGAAGAGGGGCAACCGGGACAGAATCCGGCGCCCCGACCGGGACTAGAACCCGGTGTGCCGGCGCCGCAAGGTGGAGGATTAGCCTATTGAGCCACGGCGCCGGCCCTCTTCTGTCCTATTTTCTTCAACCCCTTGTAGGCAACCATTTGTATAATTTTCTGATTATCATCCCTCATTTTTGCAGGAGTAAGCAGATATGTATGTCTTTTTTTGTTTCTTTTAAAGATTTATTTATTTATTTGAAAGTCAGAGTTACACACAGAGAGAGAGGTTTTCTATCTGCTGGTTCACTCCCCAATTGGCCACAACAGTTGGAGCTGCACTGATCTGAAGCCAGGAGCCAGGTGCCTCTTCCCGGTCTCCCACGCGGGTGGAGGGGCCTAAGGACCTGGGCCATCTTCTACTGCTTTCCCAGGCACATTAGCAGAGAACTGGATTGGAAGGGTATCATTCAGGACTCGAACTGGCACCCTTATGAGATGCCAGCACAGCAGACAGCGACTTTACTTGCTGTGCCACAGCGCCGGCCCTGATATATATGTCTTTGATTCAGTATTCTTTCCTTTATAAAATATAGACATTTTCCAATATGAGCCTTTTCAGAACATCTTGTCCAAATCTCTTTAATTACAGACAAGGAAATTAGGGCTCATCATTAAGGATTATGTAAAAATTTGAAAATGTATACTGGTATTTACTGTTTTATGTTCCTGTTTCTATTGTTCTTTCTCATTATCAGTAGTTTAAAAATATTCTTAATAGTTTGTGAGCTGTCTTTTCTTCTTCTTCTATAAGTTTAATTGTAGATGAGTGGAATTTTCTACTGATTAAAAAAATTTTTTTTATTTATATGGAAGACACAGAGAGACAGAGAGCTCCCTTCTGCTTGTTTAATCCCCAGAGCCTACAATGGACTGTGCATTGAGCTGGAAACTCACTCCAGGTCTTCCATGAGAGTGGCAGGAATCCAATTATTTGAGCCATCATTACTGTGATTATTATAAATAAGTATATAAAAATATTTAAACATAAGCCTACATTTTTTTAACAGGTGGTCAGTCTGACCAAGGCTACGGGTCTAAGGATGAACTTATAAAGGATGATGTAAAAATTCATGTGCCTGAAGTAAAAGTAACAAGAGAGTTGATAACTAAGACAAAAGTGCAAACAGAAGGTTAAGTATAGATATTTTTGAGTTTTCTTTAGAAAAATGTGTATATTAATTAAAAGTTTGTTATTATTTGGTGATAATTTTCAGAAATGCAAGGTCTGGATAGTAAGATACCATGTGCTATTATATATTGTAGATTTTGGTAGTCTGTGAATTTTAGAATTTAAGAGATCTTTAGAGAGTATATAGGTAAAGTCCTTAATTTTTCAGGGAAGTGTGACCTATTGAGGTATTCAGTTATGAAACTCATAAAAATAATTTGTGAAAGAACGAAGACTAAACTGAATCATTAAAATTATATTCCAGTGTCTCTTTTATTCTAAAATGCTCTTTCACTGGAAGTTCTTCAAATATCTAAGTGGGTATTTTCCATTGGAATATTAAAAAATTGTAAACTTTTCCTGATTTTTATAGGACTCATTAAGGTTGACATGATTTATTGTTGGAACATGGAGGAATATTTTGGTTTATGGTAATAAGATGTTCTTCCTATTATCTTACATAAAACCACACAAAAGTATATTTTCTCTGATGATGTTACTGATTTTATATTCCAGAGTTAAGCAGAAGCAGTCAAGTTATGGGAAGTAGAACTGAAGGCCAGCCTTTTAATTGATTCACTGAAGAATTCTTGTTAGGATTATTAAGTGCTAAAATAAAACATTTATTTTAGTACATACTGATGACATTTATGGCATAAAGTAAACCAGACACAATAAACCAGTAATAAAATAGTTATGTGTTCACTCTGACTTGGAGAAAAAAATACATGCAATGTATGAAATCAATATATGGTTTCTATCCACTAGGAAAAATAAGAATAAAATAGGAGTAACTTCTAAATTTTTTTTCTAGAGGTGTGTGATACCTCTACTATTGTGGCAAAACATTCACAACCTAGTCCAGAACCTCAGAGTCCTACTGAGCCTCCTGCATGGGGAAATAGCATTGTGAAAGTTCCATCTGGTATATTTGATGTTCACAGCAGGAAAAGCAGCACTGGTGAGTTGTTACATGTTGACTATTAAGTATTTAAAATATGCTTATAGATATGTATGTTTTTGAAAATATTGGCCGGTACCATGGCTCACTAGGCTAATCCTCCGCCTACGGCGCCGGCACCCCAGGTTCTAGTCCCAGTTGGGGTGCCGGATTCTGTCCTGGTTGCTCCTCTTCCAGTCCAGCTCTCCTCTGTGGCCTGGGAGTGCAGTGGAGGATGGCCTAAGTCCTTGGGCCCTGCACCTGCATGGGAGATCAGGAGAAGCACCTGGCTCCTGGCTTCAGATCAGCGCAGTGCGCCGGCCACAACACATCGGCTGTAGTGGCCACTTGGGGGGTGAACCAACGGAAAAAGGAAGACCTTTCTCTCTGTCTCTCTTTCTCCCTCTCACTTTCTAACTCTGCCTGTCCAAAAAAAAAGGAGATATATATATATATACACACACACACACACACACACACACACACACACATATATATATATATGAGAGAGACAAAGGGACAGAGAGAGAACGAGTGCACTTTCATCTATCGGCTCACTCACCAAACTGCCCACACCAATTAGGACTGGGCTGGGCAAGACTGATGCTGGGACCTGGGAACTCATTCCAGGTCTCCCACATGGGTGGCAAGAACCCAACCACTTGAGCTGTTACCACTGCCTCCTAAAATCTGCATTAACAGGAAACGAATCAAGAGCCAGAGATGAGTTTCAAGCTCAGATACTCTGTTATGGAATATGAACATCTTAACTGCTAACCCAAATGTTTTTATTCATCTTAATTCTTAATTAAATCTTGATCTAATAAGATTTATACCAGTAAGAAAGAAAGAGGAAGTAATTAGGCTTTTAACAGTGTATGACATTCATTTTAAAATTGAATATACTTTGTCACCAAATTCTTAGATACAATGAGAGCCAGTGATATTTGTTTCTCAAATATTGGTAACAGTTTTTGAAGCAGGTGTAAATTTTGAAGTTGTAAATTGGTTAACTTCCCCTAAAAGCTTTAAAAATATCTCTTTAAATTTTTATTATTAGTTCTGATTGATATGCTTATGATTCTTAGTACTAGTTTGAAAGTGTAAAAAAAGCACTGAAATCAATTTGGAAGAATACAGAAAGATCACTTTTATCACCCAAAGCTCCCAAATCATTATGCTTCTAAAGGAAAAAAAATGATAATCCTAAATATGAGTGTGCTTTAAAATGTTTGTGGAAAATTGAGTTAAAAGATAAGTTTCTCTTGGTGAAATAAACTTTTTCCATACACAGTTTTTTCATGGTACATATTTTCCTTGAACTCTTTGAAGTTTTATGAATGGTGGTGTCTCGACATTCTGGGATGCTATAACAGAATGCTGAGACTGGGTGGCTTATAAACAACAAATGTATTTCTTATTGTTCTGGAGGTTGGGAAGTCCACCACTAAGATTACAGTTGGTGGGTTGGGTAGAGGGCCTTGTTTCAGGTTCCAGACTGCCAACTTCTTATGTCTTCACTTGGTGGGAAAAAAGCAAGAGAGCTCTGTGAGATCTCTTTTATGAAGGCACTAATCCTATTCATGAGGGTCCAACTCTCATGAACAAATTATCTCAAAGATTCTACCTACTACCATCACATTTGGGGTTAGGATTTTAACACATGACATTTGGGAGTATACAAATATTTGATTGCTTGTTTCTCCCAAAGCTGGGGGAGGTTTGTAAGGCCACTCACATATTTTTAATATGCTTGATTAAAGAAGACTGATTTCTGTGAGGGCTGAGATCATGTTTGTTTAATTTGCTCTCATATCCCTGCCATCTCGTATGGTGGGTACTAGTAGACAATCAGATACTTGTAAGAATGAAGATATCTGAAAATCTAAGATTTTACTAGCCTTCTTAGAATTTGCCAGTCCTGTGCATTCAGTTCCATGTTTTTTTTGTTGTTGTTGTTTAATTTTGGAGCACTTGGGCTTTGACTATAGCAAATAAATAGTTCTTCCATTATTAAAATTTTGTATTGTGGGGTTGGGGCTGTGGTATAGAATGTTAGGTCTCCACCTCTGTTGCTAGCATCCTGTATAAGTGCCAGTTGAATTCAGCTGCTCTACTTCCAATCCAGCTCCCTGCTAACATGCCTGGCACTCATATTGGATACTGGCACTGCAGGTGGCAGCTTAACCTGCTGCACTACAGTACCAGCCCCAGTATTTTTAATGAATA